GTATTGACGGGCATCATGTCTTTCGCGATGCAGTGGGTTACTGCTTTGGTGATTTCCACGTGCCGTTTTGAAGTGCGTTCATATGGCGTAACACCGTCAAACAGTTCGGTCAGTGATCCTTGCCGAGTAACGTTACTAGGTTTATTCTGCACACTACTAGATTTTTTAGCCATACATCTACCATACTCTGTTTTGTGCCGAGTCTTAAGGTGCTGGTACAAATTCGTAGTGTTTCCCCGAGATGTAGAAACTCTACCAAGACAGGTTTTACACAGTACCTGACTCTGTGCGACATCATCTCTTTTAAACCCAAAATATTCCCACACGGCTGATGTGCAGTTCCTCTTTGGTACTAGCATCCCCGCAGGCTCTGGTTCTGTTGAACCTGAGGCCATTGTGTAGGCTACAGCTTTGCTTGCTAGTTCACTCTCAGTAGACTGTTTCAAAACTTTGCTCCCCGTGTCACGTGACCAGAGTGCAGCCTCTGTGGTTAGACAATCTCGTTTGATCATATCACATGTTTTACTCGCGCATGTCACGTAAACAGAGTATAATCGCAGCCTTTGCGGTTAGAAAATTCCACTTGAGACAAAGGATGAACTGAAGCTCCGCCATCACGTGATGTCGCATACTGCTGTTTCTGATGTCATTTAAGAAAAAAAAAAAAAAAAATTGCACTTGATCATGAGTATAATCGCAGCCTTTGCGGTTAGAAAATTGCACTTGATCATGTCGCGATATAATCGCAAATGCGATATATCGTTCAGCCCTAGTACTTGGGCAGGTTTTCTAATGAGCTCAGTAGCTTAGACTTCATAGGAGGGGGTATCGCTCTTTTTCACATGTAATGCTTAACCCTTGTATGGTGTTCGGGTCTGTGAGACCCGTGTTCAGTTTTTTTTTCAAAAGAAAAATTAAACAATTAATTATTTTTTCACGTGTAAATGTGTTGTGTCTTTCCACTCACTCCACTTGATTATAACTGATTTATTTATAACATTTTATATAAAAGAAAAACGAGAAGCACATTAATTCATAAATGTGATCTAACAAAGGAAAAGGGAAAAAATCAACCATGTTTGCTGTTCATATGTCTTGTAATTGGGATGAAGTAAACATCTGAGTAATTTAACATAAAATTTTTGATAGTGTTAATTTGGAAAGCCAAAACTCTAGCGGGTCCACCAGACCCATGAACACTGGCTGAGTAACAAAAATACGAACACCACACAAGGGTTAAGATGGCATCTGTAATTCATACATGTGTATAATTGGTGAAAGGCTTGAATCTGGACTCAGATGACAGCATGTGCATGTAAATGTTGTCACTTACGAAGGCCTCTATAAGGAACTGCACATTTCTCATACAGTTGCTGTAAAATAAATAAAAGCCCTCAAATACTTATTGGAAAGAATTACTGCTCTGTTCTAGCCGTGCTCATAAGGGTTGAGGAGCCAGCATATTGAGGACTTGACAAGTGGGATAAGATGAGATAAACCTTTGTTAGTCCCACATGTGGGAAGTTTGTTTGTGTCACAGTAGAAAGTGAACAGTGCAAAGCTGCAGTGTGCATGACCATGGGGAGGAATGTTGTGCTAAAGCCACAGCAGTGCACCTCCCTGCCAGTCAGACATCCTCTGAGCTGCACTGATTCAGTAATACAGCTCACATTCATGACATTTAGGAGTCTGTAAAAGTTAAAATTTATCTTGAAGAAATATTTAGGAAGTTTTCATTGGACATGGCCAAGGTTGTGCTTTGTCGCAGTTTTTTGTCGATACATTTTTACTGGGCAGAGAGTGTCAGGTTTCTGCTGGCTTAGTTGACCTCAAGCATTAAATGGGGTGATTGGCAGGAGTGTGTGATGTGACTGGGATGAGAATTGGTACCACAGAAACATCGTTGTCAGCAGGAAAATGGTGCACTGACTGCTCTGATCTGCCTCGAGTGAAGGAGTTCAAGCACCTCTGGGCCTTGTTTATGAGTGGTGGAGAGTAGATGGATCAGCAGAGCACAGTGGATGTGTACTGGTCTATTGAGGCGAAGAGGGAGCCGAGTGTGTAAGTTCCTCCATTCACCCATGGCAACGAGGTGTGAGTAGTGACTGGAAAAAGATCAAGGATACAAGCAGAAATGAGCTTCTTCCAAAGGTTGTCTCGGCTCACCCTTGACGATGGGGTGAGGATGTCAGTCATTGTAGAGCTGCTGCTCCTCTGTATATAAAAGGATTTTCTGAGTAGGATGCGTCGAAGATGTTTTGAGCAATGAGGCACGTGCAGGACGTGCTGGGGAATTTACAACTTCTGTCCCCACTACCAAGATGTAATGTGTAAGACTGAAAATGGTCTGATTTCAGTCTGTAGAATGAGAAGTCATCCCACTTTTCTTTTGTCGAATGTCATCAACAAAATATTTTTGTGCCTTTTTGTGGACAAACCATAAGCCATTTTATACACTGATTAATAAAACTGAAGTTGTGTACCTTCCCTGTCACTGTTGCCGTTTCTTCCCGGTGCCTAACAAAGGCACGGGTTCTATTTTCTTCCTCATTAAACATTTGCCATTTCGAACATCTCAGATTCTGCTTTGTTTACATCAGCGTCTAGCTTGCAGTCCTCCTCTTCAATGTCTTTGCTGGCGCATTGCTGCGTCTCTTGGCACATTCTGGCCCCTGTTGATCACTCAAATAGTGTGAAACCATTGGCAAGAATGCATATTACGTCACCCGTGTACACAGGCCCGCACATGGCATGCAAAACGCCAGAGACCCACTCATAAAGAAATTGCTCCATTGCACTGCCAGAGAACTGGTGTATCCACAGGATACTTTTAAAACACCATCCCCTTTGCTTTTTTTTTTATGTTTGAAGACGCACAGTCTTAAAATTTGATGAACATTAAGATTGCACAGGCTCATAAATATTCATCAGACCAGACCCCTTTCCTCTTCCTTTCTTATCTCTTTGTCACCGTCCTCTTATTTCCGATCCCTTCATGTTGGCCTGAATTTGAGCTGGACCCAAACAAACGGCCTTTCTCATGAGATCATCCAGCAGCACTTTAGTGATCCTTGAATGTATAATGCAAAACGCTGCCTGCCTGTTGCCTCTAATTGTCCTTTTGAGTGTTTAATGTTTGAGCTCATTAACATGATCTGCCATCTATTGTTTATCATATTAATAGCACCATTTCCTCGGCTACAGTAAAGGGACTGTTAATTAGTGACCACAAAGACAACATTTAGTTCTGTACATCACACTAATCCAACCTTAACCTGTTTTATCTCAACAGGAAATAACAAAGACTTCATTGTGTGACCCTCACTCCCACCACCCCACACTGTTCCCTTTTGACCTGGCAGAGATGCATTTTTGTCAAGGAGTTTGCACTCAGATGGATTAAGAGGTTAGTTTCCAATCTCACATTCAACCCTAATCTTCCTTCATTAAAGGCTGCGTTTTGTCTATTCAAAGCAAGTCAAAGCCGTGCATTGTGTTTATTATTGGCAGCTAGGGGAAAAAGTCTTTCCTGTCAGCAAAGACTGAATACACGGTGACTCCATCGGCACAGGGAGCCTTTGTCATTATCAAACAAAGGCATATCACTTGCTAGAAAGCGGCTGATTGTTGCTGACGTGAAGACAGACATATTTCAGTGATCTTCGTCCCAAACCAGAGCCCAGCGGTGGAAACCTAATCAGCCTGGTTTGGACTTACCTGTAGGAACTGGAAAACTGAGCTGCGGTGGCTGCTGATAAATTTTTCAACAGCTCCTAACCCAAAAGCAGCTGATATGCACTACCGTCTCAGAATTTTGGTTAGGGTTACATTCTGTGGAAGGCTACGTCACCGGCTCAATTGTTGAGCACACTTGAGTGTGATGGAGGCGCACCGTATGAAGTTACAGAGGATTAGATTACTTGAAAGGTGTATCACAGATCTGGCCTGTCTTTACAATATTTATATTAATTCTCTGAAGTACATCACACTTGCAAGGAAGTTACTGTCTAGATCAAGGAATAGTTAAGGTGGTTGGGAGATTTAGACTTGGTCATGACACTGAAACCAAAGGTTTGCGTTAACATATATTGCAGATTCCATTGGCCGATTTACAGAATCAAAATTCAGATTGTAGATTGTAGCAGTATTGAAATACTGTGTATATAAAACATTTATGCAGAGATGATGGAAACGGGCACATCTAAAGTGCTGATACTGGTTGAGATTGGGCAAAACTGAAATAAAGATGTGGTAACAACGTGACTATTCTAAAAGCACATTCAAGCCAAAGCTTAGTTACTTTTTACTGGGAGTTGGCACCACTTGTGGAATGAGGTGATCCACTTTAAAAGAAGAAGAAAACCCTGTTGTTGTTGTGGGTTGTTTTTTTTTTTGTTTTTTTTTTTGTGTGGTTTTAATCATGACCGTTTAGATGCCGAGCCGTGTTAAAAGGGCAGTCTGCATGAGCAGGGTTTACGCATGTATGAAAGCATGAGATGCTGCCAGATTTCCAGTCTGATTCCACAGATATGTGCAGTTCTGTGTTTTGCTTATTAAAGTGTTAAATAGTCAGTATCCAATGAGATCTGAACTTAAAACATCAAGATGACCATAATCGTGTGTGTGTGTGTGTGTGTGTGTGTGTGTGTGTGTGTGTGCGCACACAAACAAAGACCTAGTTTCTCAAAGACGGTTTGCTTTAGCTCCTGCTTCCAACACGTGGTTGCCATCAGATTCTTTTCCTGAGTAAACAGACACTGGGAGACAGCAAACTGATAGTTGTCTTCGGCTGGTGGCTGCACCTCTGTGTGATGGGCAGGAAAACATTTGGACAAATGGGCCTATTATTGACCACTCCACTATCTTGGCCAACAGGAAGCTTTGATCTGTATCTTATAAAGTCCTCCATCTCTTCCTTTGAGGAAGAAAGGCAATAGATTTGGGGAAAATTTGTAATGCTGATTTTGGATCCGTAAACACCAGTGTTCTTTTGTTTTGCTTACCCACTTCACCCTTGCTCATTTATTTCCACTTATTCATTAACCTCACTTGTCTTATTTCAGTTTCACTGCAGTTTCCCCCAATCCGTGTGTCTGCCCCTGTCAGTTCATTATGTTTGTAATTGATTGATGTGTTCACTCCTTCCATAATAATTTGCACCCTTAAATCAAAATGGGATGTTGACAGAGTTGTGGCCCACCCTCATGGTGTCTACATGAACCATCAACCTCTTGCTGCACTCTTATGCATATAAAAGGACGTGCTATAACAAGGTAGTTCCACGGCAAGCACTGGCAGCCTTAAGTGTGGATGTTGTTGAATATGTTATGAATGTGGTGAGTGTGCAATTTATTTATTTTTTCTCCTTGTGGTATTGTGTTAATGTATGCAGAATTCAGCAGAAGACTAAAAGCAGGCAGTGAGGAATGCCTGTCTGGAAGGGGGGGGATAAGTGAGAGGAGGGCTTTCTTGTCTCTCAGGGGAGAAAGATGAGAGGAAGAGAGGCATGGTGAAGAGGTAGAGAGCGGGGGATGGTGTCAGAACCTAGCAGACGAGAGAAGATGAGGAAAGAGCTAGCTTAATGTAAATAGACATGGTAAATATCTAAACACCGCATTGAAGTGTAGGTTTGACTTATAGGCTTGAGCTCTTATAAAACCACATCATAAAAGGCTGGGAAAAACTGTTTGTGTTGACTTTAAGGGCAGGTGTTATACTGATTTCCAGTCGCATATTTAAATTTTTGAACTCTGCAAGTGAATGGTCATTATTTATCTACTGGGAACCGTCGCTTCATCTACGGTCTGAATTGTTTCTGCTACCTTTAAGCCAACTTTCTTCTGATTGGCTTCAGCTCAAAAAACAGAAGATTTGAATAGCAGGTGGGTGGCGCTTCTGCACTCGGTTACAGGTATCTGCTCTCATAGATACAAAGAAGTTTGGTAAAAACATTTAAAACACTTTCAACCTCACCTGACAGTCAGCACATGCCTCCAGTAGTTTCTATTTGATAATTTCTTCAGTACTTGTCGCAACATGACCCTGAAATCTGTATTTTTATGTAGTGACGGGACGACTGACTGTTCTCATCATGATGAATAGCAAATGTCAGAGATGCGTAAGCCCCAGGTTCTAAAGTAAATGCTAGTATTGGCATTCGGTATTGTGCAATAGTGTTAGTGGGATGTATAAAGACTGTACATACAAGTGTGAATGTACTATGAATCTAACTGAGGCAAGGTTTGTTTACTTTCAGCTTGGATCAAGTGACAATACACGGTTAAGTTGTAAAATATAGCGAATTTTAAAAATAAAAAATTTAAAAGACTCCACATGGAGACGACAATCATTGAAATGTGAGTTTGTTGAGATTTCAGCAATACCGTAACTTTCTCTGAGCTTTCACACAGTCTGCTTGATGTTAGTAGTTGCTGTTGTTGTTGTCAGTTGAATCGAACTCACTGCTGGATTCCTGGAAGTCACTCCTTGGCACTTGATCTAGTAGACGCTGCAGTGTGTATGTTATGTCTCGAAATGTTATCTAGTGTGTACAAGTTTTTATAGTCTAACATTCACAACTTTATTGTCTAGACACGAGTGCAATATTTCAATAAAATGTCTAAACAAAAGCTGGGCAGCAAAGCTGAATTCAGTGGAAATGAACTGGTAATCAGCAAATGAAGGATCACGGTGTGTATGTGCACGCCCACATTTCTTTCCGCCATCCTTTCTTCTACTTGGGGGGGTCTTTCAAACTGCTCAGGAAAGACGTTGAGCGTGCTCCACACTAAGCCCCACACTTCCCCCTCCCTCTCTCTGTCTTCCCTCCTCCCTCAAGCAGCTGTTTTCCTGTCTTGGCCTGGGAACTGAAAACCAAGCTGTTTTTTCCCTATCCTTGCCTCACAAGCAGGAACTCGCAGACTTACCGAAATACACACACATACTCTTCTTGTCCGTCTCTGCCCTGTCCCACACTTGTCTGGCTGTTGACTGTGTGCTGACCTCATTTTGGACTAGAGACTGAGGAGCAGCTATTCCCACTCTTCTGCTTGGCTGCTGTGATTGCGTGTTCACATTGCAGTGTGAGAGCCGCCTGACTGTTGGTAGAAATGCTTTCATGGTAAGACGTCTCTTCCTGTAATCACAGGCTACTTCTGTCTTTTGACCTCTTATTTGTGCCTCCTTCAGTCTCTGACTCAAGTGACTCTCTGTTGGTAAGGCTGCTGTGTGGCTCATCCAGTACTCAGTTTCTAAAAGTCTTCTTGACTGTGCTGCATTGATTTCAGGCTGTCAGCATTTTGCAAAAGTTTCAGTCAATGAAATAAAACGGTGAAGTTCTAGCATGACTTAAACTCACTTTTTTTTTGGGGTTTGTCTGTATAAAAATAAAGCAGTCATATTCCCTTTTTTTTCCATTGACTGACACAAGGAGGTGTAGCTAGGCCTCATCGCTGATAATTCAAGTCACTAAAGTGGACACTGCGACTGTTATACTAAACAATATTATAACCTATTGTTATAATATTGTGTTATTGTTTTCTATTGGAGCATTTTTTAAGCCTCCACGGAGTTGGTGCTTCAGTTTTAGTTTCCGAGAGTGTTATTTGGCACAAATTAGCATTTATCTTTGTGTGTTCATGAATGACTTCACCTGAAAATACCCCCTGTATTGTGAAGCCTCAGTGCTGATGCTATGACTGGTTCTATATTGGTATTTGAAGCCACAAGGAACTGTTTTGGATGAGAGGCTGCCCAGAACTGTTTGAATGATCCTTACATCACAGCAAGCCAAGATCATTGTCTGTTAAGTGGGATCTAGCAGGCGGTAATTTGCCACTAACACTTTGGCAGAGGATTGAGTAAAGGAATGTTAAACCAAGATAATAACTGAATACATTTGTAACAACAGGACTGAGATTTGTTAAGAATGTAAGTTTTAAAAGAAAATGTAAAATATTTAAGCTGTCCCATGCTTAGATTAATCATTCTCATAAGGACTGGGTGGCTGTGCTTAACTCTGTCAGTTACACTTTTATCCAAATGTTATTTGTACAACAGTAGCAATACTTGTCGAGTACCAGTGAACCAAATATTGAAAATATTTAAATACAGGGCACTGTCTGATGCTCTTGCCATGTCATCTGTCATGTCCTATTGTAACCAAACACATTGTTTGAATTCATTTCAAACATTAGAAGAAACTCTGACTGTGTGTGCCCCTTTTTTTTTTTTTTTTTTTTTTTTTTTTTTTTGTCTAGCCCCCGACATGCCGTCTTGCGTCATCTACCTGTATCACAGCAACAAACGAGCACCAGCATTTCATGGTCCAAAAATCCTCGAGAGGAGGCGATTGTAAAGAATGTTTCATGTTGAGGCCATGTGGGTAAGGGGGGGTAGGTGTGGTTA